CGCCATGAAAAATTTAAATCCAAGCTGTGAGGGGGAGAGTGCAAAGATTTATACAGCATAATTTTACCAGCATGCTGGATGCTGGCTCTCTCTCACTTGCTTGCTCTCTGTCTGTCCTAGTACAATGTGTTTGTGGTTTTAGATGTTCATAAACACCCCCTCTGAGAAATGCTCTGTAAGATTTCTGTGGTCACAAAGCTAATGAGTCTTTTCTAGTGTTTCTAGCTAATGAGTCTTTCTCGCCAAGCGCCAAATGCGAGTAAAAATCGGCTTTGACAAGTATATGAAACCGTGTCAGTCGCCAGATGGCTGGTAAAAGTTTAATAAATTCTAACAGTGCAATGTTGTGAGAACAAATGTGAACGACACTCTGTACAGTTGATGGGTCAGTGCTGCTTACAAACAAAAGTCTAAGCCTTTGCAATGTAAATATTCAAGAGCTAGAGCACACGAAAGGACATACGTTACTCGCGCTGTGTGGGAAGTTTAAACATCCAAAGCCCCAGCCTGAAAGCCATGTCTTGAGCTCTGCTTCCTTCCTACGCTTGAATGGACAAATTCACACAAAATTATGTCAAAAATGCCCGTCTCAGTGAGTATCCTTGTAAAGTAGATGGTTCTTAAGTGAACATGAACAGCTGAGAAAGAAACCGGACACGAACCGCGCGCAACGCAATGTGTCAAAAAACATTAGAAGCTATTATAATCAGTGATATTGTCTACATATGCAGGATGCGGCGCAACACGACACGACAAATCCGCGAAAGTAAACGGATTCCCCATTCTATTTCTGAAATAGTCCAAGCACTTTGGAACTGCCGCCGTGTAGACATGGTGTTAAAGTAAAGACACAGAATCCCAATAATCCTGCTGTTGTCTGCGTTTTTAATGTTGATCAAAGAAAAAAGGACAAAGGAATAAACCAATCACTCACTGTTCTTGAACTTTAAAAAAGATATAAAGACTATAGTGTTATTTGATTAACATAATTAATTAAATTTCTGTAGGCTACCTGAAAATCACTGTTAGACCTGCCTGAAATGCACCATTTCCATTTGTTTCCATTTGTTTATTTGTTGTATAGTAGGCTATTTTGTGCTATTGCTTGTAATTTGATTTGCTCATATTTTACAACTGACTATTTACTAGTATTTAAAAATGTAGCCTATTAAATTTATTTTGGTTAAGCTAGTAGCTTTAGCAGGTATCGAAACTGGAATCAAGGAGTGTGATTTTTTGCTATTATCTAAAATTTCGGTGTCATAACTTCCTGGTTTTTTTTTTTCCATGGCTGGTAAAAAAATATTTCTGGATAGTAAATTTCCTTAAGTCACCGGCCATTGGCAGATCTGGCAAAAAGTTAGTTTTAGGCCCTGTATATATATATATATATATATA